CGGAGTCCACTCAGGTGCATGGCATCTGGTCTGTCCTGATTCTGCAAACCTCTGCGAAACCCAAAACGTGAACCCTAAACCCGAAACCCCTAAACACTGAACCCTAAACCTTAAACTCCTAAACCCTTGAGTTCAACATCCGCAGACCTGAAGGAAGGCTTCGCAGAACACAAGCGCGATTAACCACAGACCCCCCCAACCCGCTCAACTTCGCAGTGCTCCTTAAATCAGTTTGGGGATCCTTGGTGCAGGGACGCTTCTAGACTTGGATATTAAAATCTTGGTGTTCGGCTGGACGTTGAGGTCTAAATCCTAAACCCTGAAACCCCAAACCATAAACTTTAACCAAAGCCCGAAGTCTAAACTCGGGCAGTGGAGGGGGCAACCCTTCATCTCGGCTCAACTTATCTTCTGAATGCTTTGGCTAGCAGGGTTTGTGAATTAAGAGGCCTAATCCAAAGACTCCAAGAATGCCCTGGTGAAGGGCCATGCATGAAGATCCCCACTGCAACTTAGCTTAAACCCTAAATCCTAAACCCTGAATAGTATTCCGAAGTATTCCTGCGGGCGTAGGATTCCTTCTTTCTGGGGTTTTGGAGTCTCCGGTCCGCCTGAGCCTTGGAGCTTTGAACCTCGCATAGCCGCTAGGTGCGACAAGCCAAGCCCGACAGCCTACAACTCAAGATACGAAAAAATAAATTGAGGTAAGAAAAGATCAGGTACGACAATGTAACATCATAGCATAAGCATCAAAATGCTAAGTAGTGGGATGATGTACTCGGGTCTCGGTTGCCTTCGTCGCCGTGGGACTGAGGGGTCTGGGCGACAGGCCCTACCGTGCAGGGCTGAATGAACCAAAATCCCTCGAAGAACCACCCCCAAAAAAGCGTCAACCCTCAGCTTTGAGACTCCTACTGTTGATGATACAAATCCTGCATTGCCTTAAGGACCCTAAACTATGGGAATTATGGTATATTCCTTATTATGGGTAATGCAGGATTTATATCACCAACCGTAAGACTGCGAGGTTTCAAATGGTAAACCGTAAACCCCTAAACCCTAAACCCAAACCCTAAAACCCTAAACCCCTACACCCTAAAACCTCAACCCTAACCCCCTAACCCCCTAAACCCCCTAACCCCAACGTCGCAGGCTTTTTTTTGGCCCGTCCTTGGGCGGCTGCGGGTCGGGCTTGAGCTGCTCCAGGTGGTTGCAGAGCCGCTGGAGGATGACCTGGGATGCAAAAAACAGGGGTTTAGGGGTTTAGGGTTTAGGGGTTTGGGGGTTGTAGGGGTTTAGGGGTTTGGGGGTGTTAGGGGTTTAGGGGTTTAGGGGTTTAGGGGTTTAGGGGTTTAGGGTTTAGGGGTTTTTAGGTTGTAGGGGTTTAGGGGTTTAGGGGTTTAGGGGTCTTTCGAAACAACGGTTGATGGTATGGGTAGTTGTCTAAATTTTCTGGGTACTTTTTATAAGGGTGCCGTACTATATTGGGGAGCCCGAAAGGCACCCTAATTGATAGAACTACCCATATAAATCCTGCATTACCTTAAGGACCCTAAACTGTGGGAATTATGGTCTCTTCCTGATTATGGGTAATGCAGGATTTATACCACCAACACAACTATATGAGAATTCATGCCTGGCATCAGGGTTTAGGGGATTTTGGATTTAGGGGTTTAGGGTTTAGGGGTTTAGTTAGGGTTTTTTTGAAATGCAGGGTTTAGGGTTCAGGGTTCTGGGCATATTGGTTTAGGCTTTGGGGTTTAGGGCTTGATATGGGGATTGTTGTGACTGCTGTGGTTGGGTCCTGGAGCTTGCTTGCAACATTTTGTGGCTATGTGTTGACGGCGTCTTCGAGTTTGTTCAGGTATCGCAGCATCTGATCACACGATTAACACGCGAGGCAACGAGCTCTCGCTCACATTGTGAAACAGCGCGCGCGTCTCGAGCTTGACAGAGCTTAGCAAGCTTGCACATACTACAGACCCCAGAACCGCAAAACTAAAGTTTGAACTACTAAACCCTAAACTGGAGACCAAAACCCCAAACTCCACACCCCAAGCCCTAAGGCAAGTCTTTAAGTGAAAACCTACATTCTGCCGTGATATGAGACCACCGGGGCGGGTAATTTTTTTTCCACCGAGCCATGGTGAACCCAAAAACCCGAACATTCCTAGACCCAACTTTCTAAGCAAGGGTGCAGTTTCTCCTTAAACCCTAAGCCACCACACCCCTACTGCCCTATTCCTCTAAACCTCTAAACCCCTCGCACCCCTACAAAAACCCCAAAACCCCTTACCCCTAGCTCCGGAGCCCCTCGCACCCCTACTTAAGACCCAAAACCCCTAAAACCCTAAACCCTAAACCCTCTCCGCCAGGAGCAGAACTTGAAGGAGGAGAGGCTTTTGATGAGAATCAAGGAGATCCGGGGTCTCTGCAGTTTAGGGTAGAGGGTTTAGGGTTTAGGCTTCGGGATTTAGGGTTTAGGGTAGAGGGTTTAGGGGTATAGGGTTTCGGGTTTAGGCTTCGGGATTTAGGGTTTAGGGTTTAGAATTTAGGGTTTAGGGTGTCGGTTTTCGGGTTTAGGGTTTAGGCTTAGGGTTTATCGGCTAGGGTTTCATGTTTTGGGTTTTTGGTTTCGTGTTGCGGATTTCGGGTATCGGGATTAGGATCTAGGGTTAGGGTTTAGGGTTTAGGGTTGAGGGTTTAGGGTTGGTCGAGTTCAGGAGGATGTAGGCGAGAGTGAGCCGGCTGCTACCAAGTAGGTCTGCTAGGTCAGGTAAAGGCACCAACGCTGGAACGATAGCCGTATCTCTTGCTTTCCTGTGCTGTTTCTTTGTTTTGCTACTATCACTCACAAGTTGGCCTTCAGTGCACCTTGCTTTCGCAGGGTTCAGCGGTTTCGGCGTCCGAGCTGCTTGGGAAACACGGTATTTTGCAAGCAGCGGACCATGCGCTGCATCTGAAGCTGGCGGACGCTCCAAAATGCTGTCGAAACCCACCCACCCCAAACCCCAAACCCCTAAACCCTAAACCCCAAACCCTTATCTGTGACATTATCCCTAAACCCTAAGCCACTAAACCCCTAAACCCCTATATCCCTAAACCCCTAAATCCCTAAATCCCTAAACTCCTAAACCCCTAGACTGCCTAAACGCACGGCTATCTAGGCTACTATATTTAGGGTACTATATTAGGGTACTATATTTAGGGTACTATATTAGGGTACTATATTTAGGGTCCTTATAACAAGGATCCTGCTATTTAGGGTGCAGTCCTTTCAACTTGAGGCGACGAAGACAGAGATGGCGGCGAAGACCGAGACACTGGCTAAAGCTCTGGAGGCGGCCTGTAGGGGTTTAGGGGTTTAGGGTTTTAGGGTTTAGGGTTTTAGGGTTTACGGGTTTAGGGTTTAGGGGTCTGGTGGTTTGGGTTTTACGACCTAGGGTTTTAGGGTTTAGGGGTTTGGGGTTTGGGGGTTTAGGGTTTTAGGGTTTTGGGGTTTTGGGTTTAGGGTATGGGGTTTTAGGGGTTTGGGGGTTTAGGGTTTAGGTTGTAGGGGTTTAGGGTTTAGGTTGTAGGGGTTCAGGGTTTGGTGTGTGGGTTGTAGGGGTTTAGCGTTTAGGGGTTTACGGTTTAGGTGCGTAGGGTTTAGCGGTTTAGGGTGTAGGGTTTAGGTTTTTGGGGTTTGGGGTTTAGGGTTTGGGGGTGTGAGGGTTTGGGGTTTAGGGTTTGGGGTTTAGGGGTTGGGGTTTAGGGTCAGGGTTTCGGTAGAGCCCTAAAGTTTGAACCCACAGCTGAAAACAGTCAAGCCGTGAAGGGCAAGATCGGCAAGGAGGAGGAGAATGCCAAAATGTTCAGCCAGCTAGTGGCTTCCCAACAGGCCCTCAAGGACGCCATGTGGGCTATCATGGGCAGCGCTCTTGAAACGTCTTGCTTGTTTGGGGTCGCATAGCGGTGCTGTTGTCTTTGGATCTTACGCTCGGAATGCTGATACCGGAAAGGGGATCTGAATCTGGCGATCAAAAGCCTCATAGGCAAGAAGAGTCCTTCCAACGATGGTCTGAGCGACAGGCTAGGAAACATGAGCGCCTGTTTCTCTAAAGCGAAGAAATGCCTGCTGTCGCAACAGGTTCTTGTCGAAGCGGCAAAACAAATGACAGCTTCAGAAAGAGTGTGCAGACTTCGTAACCAACTTGCCATGTTCTTTGCATGCTTTGCTTGCAGGAGGAGCTTGCCACTGTGATGCAGGCCTGCCGATGCCACTCACAGTAGCTAATTCTCGGCCCAGTCTAGATTTCCAAACGCGTAGGGCGAAGACTCTGTCCCATCACCTTGAGGCGACAAAGATCGAGATGGCCACGAAGAGCGAGATGAGGGCCCTGGCAAAAGCTTTGCAGGCGGTCGAAGCGTGCCATCGCTAGACGGCTAGACCACCCGGTAGAGCCCTAAAGTTTGAACCCACAGCTGAAAACAGTCAAGCGGTGAAGGGCAAGATCGGCAAGGAGGAGGAGAATGCCAAAATGTTCAGCCAGCTGGTGGCTTCCCAGCAGGCCCTCAAGGACGCCATGTGGGCTATCATGGGCAGCGCTCTTGAAACGTCTTGCTTGTTTGGGGTCGCATAGCAGCATAGCTCCAATGCCTTCGGGACAGGGCTGTGCACATGATTTGCTGTTGTCTTTGGATCTTACGCTCGGAATGCTGATACCGGAAAGGGGATCTGAATCTGGCGATCAAAAGCCTCATAGGCAAGAAGAGTCCTTCCAACGATGGTCTGAGCGACAGGCTAGGAAACATGAGCACACATGCAAGACGTTGCCGATGCTATGCTGAGGCATGCGCACTGAGACCCGTTTCTCTAAAGCGAAGAAATGCCTGCTGTCGCAACAGGTCCTTGTCGAAGCGGCAAAACAAATGACAGCTTCAGAAAGAGTGTGCAGACTTCGTAACAAACTTGCCACGTTCTTTGCATGCTTTGCTTGCAGGAGGAGCTTGCCACTGTGATGCAGGCCTGCCGATGCCACTCACAGTAGCTAATTCTCGGCCCAGTCTAGGTTTCCAAACGCGTAGGGCGTCGACTCTGTTCCATCACCTTGAGGCGACAAAGATCGAGATGGCCACGAAGAGCGAGATGAGGGCCCTGGCAAAAGCTTTGCAGGCGGTCGAAGCGTGCCATCGCCCATCGCTAGACGGCTAGACCACCCGGTAGAGCCCTAAAGTTTGAACCCACAGCTGAAAAAAGTCAATCCGTGAAGGGCAAGATCGGCAAGGAGGAGGAGAATGCCAAAATGCTCAGCCAGCTGGTGGCTTCCCAAGAGGCCCTCAAGGACGCCATGTGGGCTGTCGTGGAACCCTAAACCCTAAACCCTAGCTTTGCTAGCTCCAGTCTTCCGGGCATAGGGCTGCACAGGCTGTTGTCTGTCAATCTGGCGATCGGAACGCTTCGAATGCCTGCTTTCAAAACGTGAGCCGTTTAGGGTTTAGGGTTTTAGGGGTGCCCTGCATTCTCATGCTTGGATGTGTTCTGGAGCTCAGGAGATGACGAACCATGAGCTGCAGGGCAAACTGCAGTCCTTCCAGCTGCAGGTGTCCTTTGGGTTTAAGGCTTTATGGCTTTCAAGGGTTTATGATGGTTTCGGGTTTCGGGGTTTAGGGTTGAGGGAAGGTTTAGGGCTGAGGGGTTAGGTTGAATGAGACCTTGCCTACACTGCCCGACCGTGGCGCAACCGTCTGCTTATCTGCAGGTGCAGGAGAAACAATTGGAGCTTGAGACCGTGACGCAGGCCCTTGCCGCCGGAAGAAGCTCACAGAAAACAGGTTCCACCTGTTCCATGATGCCACGCCGAGTACCTGCACAGTTTCAGACATGTAAGTTTCTTTGTCTTTGTGCGTTGAAGCCGCATGAGGCGTTGCAGTCAACGGTGGAAGGTCTACAGAAGCAGGCCATTCTGTTCTGACATTCTTCTCCTTGCACGGTACCACCTTCCAATAAGGTTTTCGGGATACATTATACTATAGACACAATCAGGAACCCCAAAAGATACCACTAGTTTCTATCCATTGTTCATTCTCTAAACCCTAAACCCTAAGCCCCCCGGCCTTGTACCACGATCGGTTGCTTTGCCAGGTGAAAGAAAAGCAGCAAGAGCTCATGAGCATGTCGCACAACTTCAAGGCAACATGGTTGATGATGTAAATCCTGCATTACCCATGATAAGGAGTATACCATAATTTCCATAGTTTAGGGTCTTGTTTGTAGTACAGGATGTATATCATCACCAGTAGTTCTTGAAATTCCAGGAGTGTTTGGGGTTTGGGCAGCCCTTTACCCCTCCAGAACCTATTCTTCGTAGGGTCACTATAAACCTCATATTAGGGGTTAACATGAAAACCTACAAGAGAGCAAGGTTTCTAGGCAAAGGTATACCCAACTCGAGTAGCAGACTGCCCTAAACCCCAAACCCCCTAAACCCCGCGCCCCTAACCCCTAAACCCATAAACCCCTAAACCCCTAAACCCATAAACCCCTAAACCCCTAAACCCATAAACCCATAAACCCCTAAACCCCGAACCCCTAAACCCACAACCCCCTAAACCCTGAACTAATCCCTGCGAGGAAGAGCGGGCCAGACGAATGGACGAGTTCCAAGAAGCGCAGCGCGCGCACGAGCAGGCAGGGCTCGGTGGCTTTCGGCTTTTTTGCCCGGGGTTCAGGGTTTAGGGGTTTAGGGGTTTAGGGGTTTAGGGGTTTAGGGTTTAGGGGTTTAGGGTTTAGGGTTAAGGGTTTAGGTAAACCCTACGCCCTACCTGTAGCCGAAAAGACCTGCCTCTTTAGGATTCTTTGCCATGGTTTCTATATATATATACATATATAGATATAGTTCTTCAAAAAGGTAGGTCTTTTCGGTTGCAGGTCAATCCTACAAAATCCTAGACCCCAAATCCTAAACCTAAATCCTCTAAGCCCTAAAATCCGAAGCCCTTGAATCCTCATCCCTAAACCCTACACCTAAGCCCCTAAACCCCTAAACCCTAAAATCCTAAGCCCCTAAACCCTAAACCCCTAAACCCTAAACCCTAAACCCCTAAACCCTAAAATCCTAAGCCCTTGAATCCTATCATAAATCCTTAAACCCAGATCCTAAACCCCAAAAGCCTAAACCCTACACCTAAAATGCCGCTCTGGCAGCCTTTGGAAGGAGCTGAAGCGCTTGAGAGAAGACCTGGAGGCTCGACAGCGTCGGTCTCGTCCGTGGCTGTGCTCTCCGTTTAGGGTTGAGGGTTTAGGGTTTAGGGGTTTAGGGTGTAGGGTTTAGGGTAATGTAGGGGCCTAAATACTTACCTACACTATTTTGGTGGTGTCCTTATGATAACTGTAGTATAATAGACCCCAAAGCCCTATTCCAGCTATGAACCCTACATTATTAAACCCGAAATCCTAAGCCCAAAACCCTATTAAGGCGGTTCCTAAAAGTGTCGAGAAGGGATCCATAGTGGGTTTAGGGGTTTAGGGTTTAGGGGTTTAGGGTTTAGAGTTTAGGGGTTTAGGGTTTAGAGTTTAGGGTTTAGGGGTATGTACGTAGCATTGGGGTTCTGGGTGTATCATGGGACTTAGCCACTAGGGTTACGAATTTGGTAGCTATACTTATAGTTGCTTATGATCAGGTGCTTATCACATTACTGGGCCTATAGTGGCGTCCATAATAGATAGGAGCCTAAACCCTAAATCCTAAAAGGGGGCCTATATATCCGAATAGGGTTTTGGGGGTTCGCGAGACGATTACTATAGGAAGAAAGCGTAAGAAATCAGGCTTCGAAATGAGACAAGGTTACAAAGGCACCTTTCCCGTAGATGGTACGATTCGAAGATGCATTCGCTGTTTTAGGGTTTAGTTTCGGGTTTAGGGTTTAGGGCCAGGGGTTTAGGGTTTAGGGTTGTGACTCTGGCACCGCAGGAAGCCAAGATCCAGATCGATGGCCTCGAATCGAAGCTCCTTGCTGCCCAGAGCAAGGCCACAGCCCCTCAAACCCTGAACCCTTAAATCCTCAAAACCCTTCACCCAAACCACCGAAACCCCAAACCCCCAAACCCCCACAACGCCTAAACCCAAAACCCTAAACCCAAAATCTCAAACCTTCAAACCCAACTACACCCTGAACTCCTCGACCCGAAGCAAAGAACGCTAAACCCTTCGAAGCCATGATCAGCTCAGAATCTCCCTGAATCCTAAAACCCAGACCCCCGGGAGGATCTAAAAATAGATGGGGATAATTTGGTACCAAACTACTAAAGGGTACTTTATAGGAACCCCCCCCCCGCCTGGTGGTCCGGGTAATAATAACAGCAACAACCACAACAATAAAGCAGCAGCATCAACAACAATAAATATATTGTTAACGCTAACGTTTAACAATTACTAATGACAACACTACTAACACAAATAGCGACAAAGTGAATTCCATGAGAATAATAACAACAACAATAAGGGTAATCGTTAACATACTAACAATATTTTTAGTCACAATACTAAGAACGCAAGAACCACCCTGCTTGCTGCAATAACCGTTGTCTTGCCTGCTCTTGACGGGTGTGTGTGGTTCAGGCAAGTGACCAAGAGTGCGAGCTCAAGGAAACTTCGTCCACATTGCAGCGACTGCAGGCAGAGCCTACAGCAACCATCATTCATGGGGGCCTGTATGTGTTAAACAGGGCTTCTTTGTCACCCTTATCTACCTGCCATTTATGTATCTACCCGTCTATCCGCCTATTAATCTTTCTCTCTCTGCTTTGCTCTCTGTCTGTCAATCTCTCCATCTCTCCCTCCCATATGACTCGAGATGGATGTACGCACAATAGAAATGCACTTACCAAAACAGATATAGATTCGTAAGCTGTCCCCCAGTTTAGTTGAGCCAAGGTCAATCTTTCTCACAACTACGGTATCAGCATCATGGTTATTGTCACTACAATGATTGTTGTTGTTAGGGTTAGCCTTCTGGTTACGAGTGAACCTTGCTTCAAGATCGGACAATGTAGAAGGTTGTTGGCCGGGACGTCATGGAAGGGGCTTGTTCGTTCATGGGGCGGCCTTCTGTCATTGTGTTTAAGTCCGCACAGCATGCCGAATACAGGAGCCCGAACAATTAGCATTATTCCCGAATTCAGGGTTCCTTCATTGTGGTTCAAGTATAGCAAGTGTAGCATACCCCAACACCCTACTCAAGTTATTAAAGCCCCCTTATATACGTGCGAGTCGCGTGCTTTGCCATGGCTTTTGCTCCTGACCTCCGGAGGCCACAAACCGCGAGCTTGAGTCCAAACTGCAGTCCTCCGAGTCACAGGCGGTCCTTTCGGGTTTCAGGGGTTGAGACATTCTTTGGCGGCCTGAATAATCACTTATACTATTTTGGGACAAAGATAGTATACTCTACCCCCAAGCCCTATTCTAATTATTAAGGCCCAGTAGCACATGTGATGTTGGGCCGATTGGATTGCCTGCGTTTGCCTCAGGTGCACGAGCAGCAAACGGAGCTTGCTACCGTGACGCAGGCCTCAATGCTCCCCTGCTCATTTCCCTAAACCCTAAACCCTTTAGCGCAGACCTGCAGATGACCTGTGCGCTCTCAAGGCGCGCGAGGCGTTGCAGTCGAAGGTGGAAGCCTTACAGAAGCAGGCCACGTTGTCCTGGGAACCCTAAAGCCCCAAAGCCCTAAACCCTAAATCCCTAAAGGTTTAGGGTTTGGGTTTAGGGAAAGCCCCTAAACCCTTAAGGCCTTTCAGGGTAGACCTTGGGGCATTAATGTTCTTCGTCGCTCTGCCTGCAGATGAAAGAAAGCCAAGAGGAGCTCAAGGACATGGCGAACGACTTCAAGGCTGACAGAATCTTTAATTGAGGGTTTAGGGTTTAGGGTTTAGGGGTTAGGGTTTAGGGTTTATAGGGTTTAGGGTTTATAGGTTTATAGGGTTTAGGGTTTAGGGTTTAGGGTCTTGAAATTGCGGTTTTTTCCGTGCAAAGCTCCCGAAACTGGAAGTCCATACACACCCTGGCCCTAAATGCTAAACCCTACAACCTAAACCCTAAACCCTACAACTTAAGCCCTAAGCCCCAAACCCTACGTACACCCTAAACCCTGAAGCCCAAACACTAAGCCCCAAACCCTACACCCTAAACCCCAAGCCCTGCCGTAAACCCCAAACCCTACACCCTAAACCCTGCCCTAAAACCCCAAACCCTACACCCTAAACCCTGCCCTAAACCCTACACCCTGACCCCTGCCCTAAGCCCCAAACCCTACATCCTTTTCCCTACACCCTAAACCCCAAGTCCCAAACCCTACACCCTTTTCCCTACACCCTAAACCCCAAGCCCCAAACCCTACACCCTAAACCCTACACCCTAAACCCTACACCCTAAACCCCAAGCCCTAAACCCGAAACCCTTTTCCCCTACCCCAAGCCCCAAACCCTAAACCCTAAACCCTACACCCTAAACCCCAAGCCCTAAACCCGAAACCCTAAACCCTACACCCTAAACCCGAAACCCTAAACCCTCCACCCTAAACCCCAAGCCCCAAACCCTACAGCCGGCAGCTGGTGGGCGCCTGTCCGAACTTTGCCTCTGGCATGGCAGGAGTCGAAGATCCAAGCAGCGAAGCTCCGTGGTCCCAAAAGCAAGGCCGCACCCGGAGTAAGGGTCGTCTAGTACACATCTAGAAATATACTATGGTAGTATGATTATAGTAGTTTTTAAATTTAAGAATATGAATTAATATTTAATGCATATCATAAGATATTGTATTGTAGAGTGATAGAAATGTCATGTAATCTAATCTAGCCTAACATGGTAGACTCTTACCCTGCAAAGGCTGGCAATGCTGGAAAGGCTGGAAAGCCTGGACTTCAGTCTCCGCCACCGCAAAAACGCCTCTTGCCTGCAGCGTCACAGCTTCAGGGGCGCTTGCTGCAGCCCACAGGAAGTGCTACCTTGGGTACTGTCCCCAACCTGTAACAGCCTATATGAGGGGTCATATTCAGGGCTCTATCTATCTATCTATCTATCTATCTATCGATCTCTATATATATATATGCATATATTTATACACACATTATATATACATATATATATACACACGTCGGTGCTATTGTCCGACTGTTGCAGAGTGGGGCAGTATGCAAGTGCCACCTGCCTCTGCTGCAGGGAAAGGTGAACCTTTGGCCTGCGAACGCGTGTCGAGTCCGCGGATTTCCTCTCCAGATTCGGCAGACCCAGAGAGAGGACGGGTTCTTGTTGAGCTTCAGCCCTTTTAAAGGTTCCTAGATTCCAAAAAGGGCTACTATGATGCAAAAAATAGGGCCTTAATAGGGCTTGCTGAAGCTAAAGTCCTGAACAAGAAGACTCAGGGCTGTCCGGTTTTATCTTTTCGGGTTTTAGGGTTTAGGTTTAGGCGGGATATTGTATATGCTTCCTTAGGGTTCCCTATTATAACTATGCTATAACGGATCCCAAGAGCCCGAAACCCTCTTCTAATTATGAAGGCCCCTTTTTTTAGGTTCAAGGCAATTTTGGGAGATCTGGTGATCTGCGGCGTCAGGGAGAGTGCGTGCCTGTCCGGGGCCGGCAGGTCAAAACGAAGCTTCCGACTTCGGCATGGACGGCACTTATCCTCCTGAGTACACGCTCCGACACTCGGCCCACAGCAGAGAATCAGAGGATCACGTAGGCCCTAAGATCTACCTCTATGGCTCCTAGAGGGGAGTGCAGGCATCTCATTCAGACACCTGGGGTTGTTCACATTGTTGGAGGAATTGTCTAAACCCGAAGGTTTAGGGTTTAGGGTCTGAGGCCCTAAATTAAACCCTTATTCGGGTTTAGGGTTTAGGTTCTTCAGGTTGTGGCAGCAAGGGAACCAGGCAATAATCTCGGCTTGGAGACCCGGGAAAGCTGAGGATTCCATGACCCGAAGACGGGTCGGTCACTACCGGTACATGGGCCCGAGTATCCTGGCTTGTTGACACTTAGACCTGACCAGAGCTGTGAATCCCAGAAAGGGCCCAGTATTTTGAGCCATGCCAAACTCCAAATCTTACACCCTGCCAAGGTATGCCGCGAAAATTCGAGCTCTCATTGACAAAGACCTGTCGCCAAGAATCAACCGAGAGCTTGAAGCTCTAGTGCAAAGAGTGGGTTGATGGTATCCCAATGCCCGGGGACCAAGAGCAATCACCACTGGTACTGCTAGCAGCAGTAGTAGTAGTAGTAGTAGTAGTAGTGGTAGTAGCAGTGGTAGTAGTAGTAGCAGTGGGGGTAGTGGTAGTGGTCGTGGTCGTGGTGGCGGTGGCGGTGGCGGTGGCGGTGGTGGCGATGGTGGTGGTGGTGGTGGTGGTAGTGGTAGTGGTAGTGACCTGGTAGTGACCTGGTACTGGTAGTGGTAGTGGTGTGGTGGTAGTGGTAGTGGTGGAGGGGGTAGTAGTAAGCGTAATCGCAGTCGCAGTCGCACTCGGACTCTAGTCGCAGTGGGAGTTGGAGCCGTAGGAGAATTCGCAATCGTCAAAGGTTTGAGATTTAGGGTAATAGTGGTTAGTCAGAGGAAGAGGGGTAGTAACGGTACTAGCACTAGTACCAGAAATAATAGCCGTGATTGTAATAGCAATAGCAATAGCAACACTGGATAGAATGAGAATAGTATCTGAATAGTGGTAATGACACTTATCGAAATGCCAGCAACAATGAAAGCAAACATAATAATGAACATAGCAATAGCAGTAAGAGTAGCAGTTGTAGCAAGAAGCAACAGTAGTATAATAGCAAGAGTAACTATCAAAATAAGATATCGAATCTTCATATCAACAGCTCTGATAAAAAAAGGAGACTCCTGATGACAAGGCTGATGATGATGATGGTGATGGCCATCCAGGTCCACGGCAAGTCCGTCTCACCTTGTGACGCATGCCAGTGCCAGCGCTGCTCCCGCACCCAGCTTGGATTTTCAGACTTTAGCTGGCCGATGCCTTTGATCAAACCTGCGAGCCTCTCAGCCCAAAACCCGTACACATCAACCCTTTCGTTTTGGGGGCTTTCTGCCAGAATCCTAGCTCTAAACCTAGTCCTGCGTAGGTGATGGGGGTTTATGAGTCAGGGGGTCTCCTCTCCACGCCCTTGACCCACTCAAGGCGCTCTCAGGTTTGACTTTCGATCTCTCACGGAAATGCGCTCCGCCGCAAAAACAAAGCGCTTACTCTGCTTGTCTCTGGCCTACACCCTACCTATAGTGTCCATTGTAGTTCCTTTTTTGGGGCTACATTATAGGATCCTAAGTACAAAAAACTGGTAAAACCAAAAAACGGAACTACAATGGAGACTATAATAGGTAAACCCTAAAAGCCCTGAACACCTTGCCGAGCTCAAAGATGCAGGACGCAGCATCGGGACTACAAGACCAACTGCGAAGCTTGCGGCTGCACCGACACGCGATGAGGCGGAGCAGACCAACTGCTTAAAGGATTATGGGGCTTAGTAACTTAAAGGGTCCATAAAGGGGTTTTAGGGTTCCAAGCGTCATGGGCCATGGGACTTCGTAGCTGGGTTCTAAAAGAGGTAACTATGCCTAGTGTAAAGGTACTTTTGTAGCCTACGTACTAAGTCCCCCGATCCTCCAAGCGGTCTCTGCAAGCAATACAGTCGAGAGGACTGCCTGACGGTTCATGAGAAGATCTCTCAGCTCGGGTCCCTTCTACGCTCCCAAAATAGTACGGCACTCTTATAAAATGGGCCCAAAAAAAACACGCACAGAGAACGCAAACACAGAAACCCCTATAGATCCCTTTATAAGGAACCCTAAAGGGGACCCGTATGTACAGAACCCTCATAATGCAAGGAAGCAGCTGTCATCTGTGGCAGCGGACTCCACCAGGCTCTTTGCGAGCATTGACTTCTCCCGGCAGCAGATTGAGGTCAGCGCGCTTTTCTGTCACTCTACAGCCCTACACATCCCGAAAGGGTGTTCCACGAACCCTATAGGCCCCATTATAACCCCTGCGCCCTAAACCCTAAAACCCTTATGCCTACCGGAGCGCTCGCATGGAGTTGCCGGGCTTCGATTTCTTGTTGAGTGCAGGACCTGGAGCGACTGGTTGCTTGCCTGAAGGAGGCGGATAGGGTTTAGGGTTTAGGGTTTAGGGTATCTTGAGCACACTATGACTGGTAAACCCTAAACCCTAAACCCTAAGCCCTAAACCCAAAGGCGTAAGTACTCTAACTAAAGCCTTATAACCCCTAAACGTTAAGCCGTAAGTATTCTGAAGCCCCAAACGCTACGCTAAACTAAACTTTAGACTCACAAACCCTAAGCCTTAAACCCTAAACCCTATAAGCCTTAAGCCCTAAGCCCTCAACCCGAGACCCTAAACCCGAGACCCTA